CGATGACCGGGTCTGGGTAACTGGGACACCCATCACCTCAAAGGTGCATCGTTTCTTTGTGTTGGGAACATTCCAAATCTCCTCCTCCAGCGACTTTGAAATATACAACAAATTACAGCCGTCCCGTTGAGCTAACAACACTAGAACTCACCCCTTCCCCCGGCCGCACCTGCGTACCCGCTCGCCGAATCTCGACCGTTATTTCCTAATGCATCACTAGAACTACTGCCCACTGAAAGCCCAAGTTTTAAAACTCTTTTACATTTAAACATAGATGCGTTTTATCTTTAAAACTGTTCCATGGCCTCCTGTAGTGCCGGGGCCCGCTCGCTGTCCGTGGCGACCGTACCTTGCTTTTTGCTCAGTGAGCTTTGCCTCTTGCTTGGGGACTCGAACCCTCCCTCTGCCCTAACAACACCTGGTGTCCCGGCTTGCCGCTGGGCGGCGGGCAGTGAGCCCGGCTGGGCGGCAAGACTCCCAGGGCCGCGGGGAGTCGGCGGGGGTTTAGGAAGCACCAAAACCCTGTCTAGCCTGGGGGCCACCCCGCCCCACACCCCCGTCCCCGGGGGTCTCCCGTCGCGGGCCGGGCCGTACCTGAGCGCCTCCAGGATGGCCCTGTGCGCCTCGTCACGGTGCTTCATGCTCACCAGGCTGGAGGACCACTGCTGCAGGATGCGCTTCTTCTCCATGGTGATGGCGTCTATCTCCGTGGACGCCTGCGGCCCAGAGGGAAGGGGACACCTGTCTCATTTCACCTGCATCGGGGCCCAGGAAGGATGCCAGAGCCTAAGTTTCCCGAGTTGTCCTCTTGTCCCTCACGCAGCTGTCCATGTGTCCACCGGGCGGGAGGACCCGGTTCTAAGGCGGCCCGGAGAGGGGCGGGAGCCGGACGCTGTCCTGCCCTGTGCCGACCCCTCCCGCCCTGGGCCGGGCGGTAGCGAGGTGCGGCCGACGGGGGAAGGTCACTCCCGAGAGCACATCCTCAAAGGCGCCCCGGCTTCCTCCTTGCTCTCCTGCCTTGGACCAGATGCGCTGCGGGAAGCCTTTAGCCGTTTCCTTGGAATAAAGTCCAAGCAGTGATATGCGGGGGGTGGGAAGGAGGCAGTTTGCGCAATTTTTTTTTTTTAGACAGAGTCTCGCTTTGTTGCCCAGGCTAGAGGGAGTGCCGTGGCGTCAGCCTAGCTCACAGCAACCTCAGACTCCTGGACTCAAGCGATCCTCCTGCCTCAGCCTCCCGAGTAGCTGGGACCACAGGCATGCGCCACCATGCCCGGCTAATTTTTTCTATATATTTTTAGTTGGCCAATTAATTTCTTTCTATTTTTAGTAGAGACGGGTCTTGCTCTTGCTCAGGCTGGTCTCCAACTCCTGACCTCGAACGATCCTCCCGCCTCGGCCTCGAAGAGTGCTAGGATTGCAGGCGTGAGCCACCCTGCCCGGCCTGCACAATATTGTCCTTGTGACAACCAACGACCTCCTCGCAGACTGAGCTGCGCTGTGCCCGCAGCGTGGGGCCGTTGTCGCTCTTCCCCTCTCTGCCGGCCGGGTCCCTTCCTTCGTGGATGGAGCGTCCGTTGGGCACTGCCACGAGTGAATTAAGACCGAGCGGGAGGCCGGGCTTCGGGGTGGGAGGGCACACCAGGACGGGGGTGTCTCCTGCTGATTTTCACGTCCCCTCACACCCCAAATTCACCAGTGCTAGTAAGTCCGTCTGCTGGCGTCCCCCTGGCTCTGCGCTCTGTGCGCGGTCTTGCTCTGCGACATCTCGCAGCCGGCCGGTGGCGCCATCCCCCGTGAGGCTTCTGCTCCTGGCGTCACGCGTCCTAGGGCCTCCCCGACCCGGGATTACGTAAACATTTTCATTTGTTTTCTTCTGCTGCGTTTTCCCCATTTAAACTTGATTCCATCTGGAATTTGTTTTAGTGTCTGATACGAGGAAAAGACTTTATTTTGTTTTATTTTCCCCAAATGATTAACCAAACGAACCAAATGCCTGCAGACCACTAGATGCATAATCCACGAGCTCTCTGCTAGTTTATAACCTCCTAGACTTTTGCACAGGCCTTGGCTTGTGTCTGGGCCGTCCTGCCGGCTCCCCTGCCCACGCTCCTCACACACCGCTTTAGCCTGGGGGCTTTACGGCACGTTTCGGTGCTGGGTGGGTGACCTGCCACCCAGGTTTGCCCAGCCTCCCAGGTTCAGCACGGGAATTGCCACATCCCAAGAACCCATCAGTCCCAGGCAGACGGGGACGGCCGGGCGCCCGGTGTCAATGGCCCCTTCCGGAACGGTTCTCGGCGAGCGCTCCCAACTTGCTTCCAGATAAACTCAAGAACCGCTTTTTTTTTTTTTTTTTTGAGACAGAGTCTCGCTTTGTTGCCCAGGCTAGAGTGAGTGCCGTGGCGTCAGCCTAGCTCACAGCAGCCTCAAACTCCTGGGCTCAAGCAATCCTGCTGCCTCAGCCTCCCGAATAGCTGGGACTACAGGCATGCACCACCATGCCTGGCTAATTTTTTCTATATGTATTAGTTGGCCAATTAATTTCTTTCTATTTTTAGTAGAGACGGGGTCTCGCTCTTGCTCAGGCTGGTCTCTAACTCCTGCCCTTGAGCGATCCGCCTGCCTTGGCCTCCAGTCGGTCGGTTTCTACTGCTCCTCCGCCGTGGCTCGGAGGGTTAGATGTTCTTTTTTTTTTTTTTTAAATTTCATTTCAAAATATTAAGGGGGTACCAATGTTTTTGACACATGGCTTGAGTCCGGGCTATAAATGTGCCCGTCCCCCAGTTCACGGTACCCATTAGGTGGGCTTTTGGCCCGCCCCTCTTCCCCCAGATGTTGCTAGATGCTCACGGAGACCTGCAGGTGTGCCAGGCCCGGCTCTCAACCTCACGGGGCCTGTGGCTCGCTGGGGCCACAGCTGGCTGCAGCCGTCCACCCAACAGACAGGCAGGCACTGTCCCGGCAAGGCCACCAGCACCCCGGGGTGGGCCCCGAGCCGCGGGCGCCGCTCTTACCTCGCTCACGGCTTTCCTTAGAGTGCGGGTGTCCTCCGCTTGGGCGGTGCACTGGGCCTCGCACAGCGCGATGTCTTCCTCCAGCTGCTTGGCCTTGCTGGTGAGCTGGTCCACAAACAGGTCCTGGGAACGGCAAGGACACGTCCGCACCGGAAAGGCAAATCCTGCCTAAGCCGACCCGGGGCAACGCCGCCCCCCGCCCGCAACGGCCGTGCCGAGCGCCCTTTTGGAAGCGCAGAGGTCCAGGGGTCGCTGAGGGTGCGCCGCCCCGTTGGCGTTCGCCCAGTACCTGCTTCTTCTTCTCGGTCTCCGCCCGCGCCCTGTCCACCTCGGCCTTCTTCACCACCTGCTTCATCACGAGGATGTCGTCCTGCACGTCCTGGTCGACGTTCTGCAGGTAGAAGAGGTTCAGGACCAAGGTCTCCAACTCCGTCTGCAGAGCCGCCACTGTGGGAGGAGGCACAGGCTGGTCCGGCGCCCACGCCGGGACCGGGGGCCCAGGGCACCCCCAGCCGTTCTGGGGGGCGGCAGCGGGGGAACTGCCTTGACACTACAAAGGCCCGGGCTTTGCCATGGAGGAGCTTGCAATCCCGCTGAAGAGATAAAAGCACGTGTAATCTACGTCCACGGATTGCGACAAGCTGTTCCGTGTCCCACCAGGTACCAGAGCTCCTCGCCCAGCGTGAGGACAAGCGGAAAGAGTGTGGGACGGCTTCACGTTTGATTTGCAGATTCCTTTTCTTTTCTTTTCTTTTCTTTCTTTCTTTTTTTTTGAGACAGTCTCACACTGTCGCCCGGGCTAGAGTGCCGTGGCATCAGCCTAGCTCACAGCAACCTCAAACTCCTGGGCTCCAGCGATCCTCCTGCCTCAGCCTCCCGAGTAGCTGGGACTACAGGCACGCCCCACCATGCCCGGGTAATTTTTTCTATATATTTTTAGTTGGCCAATTAATTTCTTTCTACTTTCAGTAGAGTCCGGGTCTCGCTCTTGCTCAGGCTGACTTCAAACTCCTGACCTTGAGCGATCCTCCCACCTCGGCCTCCCGGGGTGCTAGGATGACTGGCGTGAGCCACCACGCCCGGCTGATGTGCAGATTTCTTACCACTGAAGGGTCTGTGGCCCTAGGCAGAGTCCTAAGTCCCCTAAGAGGAAACCAGAGCACAGAGGGCGGGCTGAGCACCACTGAAGTCCTCAGTATGTCAGGGGACATACTTCCCATGCGGCAGTGCTGGCCGGGAAGGGCAAAGGCTGTCCCCTTGGGCTGGGGCTCCACCAGCAGCACTGCCCGCCCCGCTCAGACTCAGACAACAGGTTTGTGTCGGCCCTCTTAGACGAGACTAAGCCCCGAGGAATTGGTTCCTTTAACGAAACTCACATGAGATGGATTTTACAAAGCTAGAAGGCCCATTTATTTAGGGAGCTACACCTCAGTCAATACCGGTTTGCTCACTGGCACGGGGCATTCCTTCTTCCGGGAATGGATCCAGACTGAAAACGGAATTATAGGTCAAAGGCTGCTGGGTGAATACCATATTGGAGTCCAGTGTTCTCGAAAGAAATCGCTTACACTCGAAACGCAAATCTTTAAAATACAAGATCATTGTAAAACTTCTACCAAAAAGAGAGCAGCACGCTCTAGCTCTGCACGGCTAAGAGTCCCCGGCGGGGAGCGCAGCGGCAGCAGAGAGGCCTGGTGGGGGGTTGCGGGGAGAAGACGCAAGGCCGCGGACCTGCCGGCTCCTCTGTGAACAGCGAGACCTCTTCCTGCAGCTCCTTTTATTTTATTTTTTATTTATTTTTTCAATTTTTTTGGAGACAGAGTCTCACTCTGTTGCCCAGGCTAGAGTACCGTGCGTCAGCCTAGCTCACGCAACCTCAAACTGGGCTCAAGCATCTCTGCTTCTCTTGTGTTATATTGTCGCTTTTTTATGCTCTTTTTTTTTTTCTTTTTTTTTATTTTTTTTTTAT